CTGCAGGATAGAAACATACCTCCTTTTCTTGATACTAGATGGCTACGGGTGACCATCTGTTTTTGCTGAAATATGAAGGTAATGTTGTATAACTTGTTTTTCTGTGCTTGAAATAAACATGCTCTGAGGAGTGTTATTGATGATTATGCAATTATTATGAAGGTAGCAGAGCATGCAAAAGTCTTTTTCCATTAACATGTTGTTTTTATGGATTGAAGATTTTGGCAGGAACTGGTTCTGATACAGTCTAACATTTAGCTTTTGTCTAGGTTAATACAATATTGAAGTAGGTTGTCACTGAACACTGAAGAAGGCTTTAAAGACTGTTCTCTGACGTTAATTATCTACTGAGGTGCATTACAAAATTAGTTACTTTTAATTAGAAAATTAGAGAATTTATCACAAAAGTTAATATTTTAAAGTATATGGGGACTCACAGCTGTAGCTAATTACAAGGCAGTAAGCTTGTTTGCAAATAAAAGACTCAAAAAATGAAGATTGGAAAAAGAATTTCTGCAATATCCTTGTCATTTCACAACTATGTGAGATTGCCTGAAGGAACTGGCCTTTTTGACCCCTTTCTACAGAGATATTTTTAATCTGTTTTATTAATTTAATCTTTTTGATCCTAGCTACAGTCTCAATCATTTTCAAAATTACTGTCCTACAAGTAATAGTTATGTTATTGAAGCAAATAAAAGGGCTGTGTGCAGGTTTTCCAATTTAATGTCATGTGCATTTATTAAAAAGGGCAGCAAACACTTAAAAAATCCATATATAACTATATGTGGTTATATATTATTTATAACTAATGTAAATTATATATTATAAGTCATTCTTTACAAATGCAACTTGAGAGAAGGTGCATAAAAAAACCTAAATGTTTGAGGGGTGACTTCTTCTATCAGGAAAGATTTGTCCTGTATCTCCTTCAGGAACTTCTGCTGATATTGAATGCTCCAGTAATTGGAAGTGTCAGTAGGAGTCGATTGCTGTTTATGGCAGTGTGCCTAACAGAAGTCCCCACAGTAGACTTCGTCATAACAGCAAAAGTGTACTCATACCTGTGTGACTTGTTTTGCACAAGAGATGGATTCATTTTGACTGGATCAGCATAAAACTCTACTTCGCTATTACAACTCTGACCACTCCAGGAGTGCACTGATGATGTAGTATATTAATGCACCTAGTGTAAACGTTACCTTAAAGAGCCTAATCTTAGTTTGAAAAGGCGACTGTGCTGACACATCTGCTGCATACAGGTACAGGAGCAAATACATTGTACAGAAGAGGC